AGGCTCAGTCTTTAAAATATATCCTAAAAGCTAAAAACTTGTTACTTCCAGTGTTACCATCCTTGTTCAAATTCTTATCTTCTATCACCTGAGTGACTGCAATAATCTCTTTCTCCATAAATATATTTTCCATACAGTTTCAGTAGTGACCATTTAACTCCAAAGTGAGCCTGTCATTTCTCTGTTAACTATCCAAACCCTCTTTAACTCAGAGGAAGGCCATAATCCCTAATTTTGACCTACAAAGGCCCCAGATCTGTTCCCATTACTTCTCTCAGTTCATTTCCTATACTCACATCTTTCCTTCCACTTTTTCTCTGCTATACTTTGAACCCTCAAACATGCTCTTGAATTCTAATCTTTATGATGTACTCTCTGGCTGGAACGCTCTTTGCCCAGAAATTTAAGTGGCTTATTAGCCCCCAGATTTTCAACTCTTTGTTCAAATGTCACCTTCTCAATCAATAACGGTCACCCTGATTCAATTTAAAATTGACCCCCAGGGTCAGGTGTTTGGCATAGCAGGTAAGATACTGCTTAGGACACCCACATTCCATATGGAAATGCCAGGGTTCAAGAGCCAGCTCTGCTTCTAATTCCAGTTTCCTGGTAATTCACACCCTAGGAGGCAATGGATGACTGCCCAAGTACTTAGGTTCCTGCCACCCATGTGGGAGACTTGAACTGAATTCTGGGCTCCTGGTTTCAACCCGGCCCAGCTCCAACTGTTGGGGAGTGAATCAGTTGATAAAAGATCTCTCTCTCTCTGCCTTTCAACTAAAAAAAAAATGAAAATAAACATTTTTTAGAAAGAAAAATAAAGTTGGATCCCAATCTTTGAGATGCTAAACCAACAGCACTCTACCCTGCTCTGCTTTTATTTCCTGACACTGATCACCTTCCAACACAATATGTAATTCAGTAACTTGATAACCTTCACCACAGAATATAGTTTCTAAGAGAGGAGGGCTTATTATTATTATTAGTTTTAATTACTGATATATCCCAAACATCTAGAAATACACTTGACATACATAGCAACTCAAAGATACTACTTGAATAAATAAATAAATAACTACATAAACACAATGAAAAATTACTACGGGGTAGGGATTTGGCACAGCAGTTAAGAGGCCGCCTGAACTGCTCCTGTCCCATATCAAAGTCCTGAGTTCACTTCTCTGCTTCCCAACCAGGTTTCTGCTAATGCACACCCTGGCAGGCAGCAGATCATGGCTCAGTGCTTGCATCCCTGCTGCCCAGGTCAGAGAGTCAGGTGAAACTCTAAGTTCCTAGATTTGGCCCTGCCTGTTCTGATATTTCATGAGTATACCAGTGGATAAAAGGTATTTCTCCTCCCTTCCCTCTCTCCTCCCCCCACCAATATTATTCCTCCTTCCCTTGCTTATTCAAAAAATTTCTGTGTAACACTTAATATTTGTCACTTTTCTCTATATTTTGTGCAAAATTATACCTTGGGGAAAGAAAACAATATTAGAAGGATGGTCTACCCTGACAGAGATGACAATATTATCTGCCTCTACAAAAAGTTTGAATTTTTGTAAAGTAATAGAGCCAAAATTTAGAGAGCCAAAATAAACATCAATACATATAAGAATGTGACTACATAATCCTAACCCTGATGATACATCTGAATCAAAGATTGAAATCTTTATAAGAATATACAATTCACGGCCCATTCAATGCTACAATCCTCTGAACGCACTCTTCCACAGAAGTATTCACCACTGAAGAGAAGCTATATTGTTTGCCACCACCAGTAACTAGGATTGCATGAAACAGTTCATTTTCTCTCCTACTTTTAAATCAATGTTTGGGACAAGTTTCACAAATTTCCAATACATATTTAAATCCCAATACATATTTAAATTAGTTCTTCTAATTCTTCCAATATTCAACCAAATTCCTCTTGTTGGAATTTTATACTTATAAAGATGAAATTTATAAAGAGGGAATAGCAACAGAACTACAATGTTAATTGAGGCTTTTCTTGAATTACTATTCATAAAACCTCACTTAAAGAGTCTTTGGGGGAAAATCATTTAAATCTAATTTAATAATTTTACTGTTTTCAAGTAAATTGAAAAGTAATATTCTAGCTATTAATTGAGAAAATTTAATTGTGCAAAGAGTTCACTGATATATGTGGGAGTATTAAGTCTATACTTCTCTATTCGATAGTTTTTATGTTTCGACAGGCAGAGTGGACAGTGAGAGACAGAGAGAAAGGTCTTCCTTTGCCGTTGGCCACCACGGCCGGCACGCTGCGGCCGGTGCACCGCGCTGATCCGATGGCAGGAGCCAGGTACTTATCCTGGTCTCCCATGGGGTGCAAGGCCCAAACACTTGGGCCATCCTCCACTGCACTCCCTGGCCACAGCAGAGAGCTGGCCTGGAAGAGGGGCAACCGGGATAGAATCTGGCACCCCGACCAGGACTAGAACCCGGTGTGCCAGCGCCGCAAGGCGGAGGATTAGCCTAGTGAGCCGTGGCGCCGGCCAGTATTAAGTTTTAAGAAGGGTGCATTGCAAATATTTCTACTTCCTTTATAAAGCAAATTGTAAATCTATTAATGGGCATCAATTTGTTAGGTGCCCTGTCTGAATTACAAAACATTAATTTTTACTTCAAATTACATATCTTATAGAATTATTTTGTAAAATTGATAAGTTACACATTTAAAAGACTCAATAAATTTTAATTTTTTTCAGCTATGACTGTTCTAGACCAGGGATGAGGAATGTCCAGCTCACAGGTTGTATAAGGCCTGTGAAATCATTTGTTCTAGCCCTGACAAGACAACTGCAAGTAGGACTCAAAATTCAATAAACCTATAGCAGGCTAATTTGTAGCTGATAATTTTGTATGGCCCAGGAATGATGTTATAAATATCTAAGTGACCCTTGGCAGAAAAAGATCCCCCATCCCTGCACTGTTTGCTTCTTTTTAGTTTTAAATCTATTTTTTGAATTTTTTTCTTTTAAAATATTTCAAATAACACAGAAAAGTGTAAAGAAGCAATCAGCAATACAGATTTACCAATTTTTAACATTTTGTCATATTTATGTCACTTGAAATATAATGTATATGTATATACATATTCAAACATACATACTATTTCCTAAAGCAGGGGCAGAGATATTAATATCACCCCACATAGGATTCATAACAAAAATCTTAAAATGGAGAAAGACTTTTATATTATTATGAAAAGTGTGTAATTCAGTGGAGACAACATTTATAAATATCATTGACTTACTAAAGGTCTTACTTCAATGAATAGATAGACATATTTAGAATTACCATTGCAACTTTTTAAAATAAATTGGATGAAATGAAATCTGCAGCAGTGCTTTGTAAAAATTTACAAGGCATCATCACCATTTAATAAATGAGTACAAGAGAGGAGCCTGAAGGTGCAAGAAGGCAGATTGCTATCTTAAATTGTATTAGGAGCATACCTTCTCTCTGAAACATTGCTAATTCAGTTCAATTGTTGAACAAAGGTTTTTCTTCAATGATTACAAAAGATAAAACTCCAAAGACTGTAAGTTCTTTATAAGAAGTAATTATTATATTATTTTAAATTTAAAGCTAAGTTTTTAATCATATTATCAAGTGGAGATTGCTATCAATGAGGCAAACATGGGTTATCTGCACATAAAAATTATTATGAAATTTTAACCAAGATGCCACTAGATCAAGCCATTGATTAACCAACTCCACAACTACATGGGGACAGGGAGATATGAGGGGTCTTCAAAATGTTAATGGAAAAATATATATGGGAAAACAAGTGCAATCTTCTAGAAAAGCCAAGTTAAAGAAAAACCTTGAAAGGCACCTCTCAAAGAATGCATTTATGTAAGTTTGTTCTCAATAATCATAAAGCGAGAGAGGAAATCTAAGTGGGTCTTTGGTATTTTACTAAGATTGCTAATAGTAGGACAGTAAAAGAGAACAAAGAATAATTCACAGTGTTCTATAAATTAGTATGGCTCAATTAATTATAAAGCTAGCAATAATCACAACAGCTTAAAGACTTCTATTCACTTCCATATTTATCACATTTTCAGAGTCTTTTTTTCTTATGCAGACATCTGAACTCATTTAACAATCAAATGTTATTATTTAGAATCACATAAACTAAAAATTAGCAAAATATGAGCTATAGCATCATGAACTATAATATTATTATACATCTATGGAGTGTATCCAGGTACCCACAAGAGGAAAAAAATGAGGGCATTGTTTCAGTTTTTTTAATGCTGGCATCATTGACATAATGGGCTGGAGAATCTCTTGTTAGGAGTATGAAGGCGGGAGCTGCTCTATGCACTGAGGAATGCCGAGCAGCTTCACTGTCCTCTACCCATTAGATATCAACAGCACTCACCAGCTCCAACTACCAAAAAACATCTGGAGACATTACCAAAAATCCTAGGGAGGGCAAAATTGCCCCTCGTGAGATCCAACAACATTCACAGGGAGAGACAGAATTCCTAAACAATTACTACAGCTAAATGGAAAAAAACTGAATTTCAAGTCTGTGAATCTGAATATATTTATCAATACTTTGTATTCTGAAAATAAACTTCCATCAATCTCAGTTAAAGTAGAAATACTGTTCTTAAGAAGAAACAAATTAATAAATAGCTTTCTCCTTAATTCTTACTTCTATCTTAAGAATAACACCCTACCTTCTTCTGTCCCCCAGGAAAAAAACAACTGCAGTCTTTGTTTTCAGTTTTGAAGGCAAGAGAAGAGTGTTTTTCCTCTGACTCTACAGACGGTTCCTGCAAGTGCTCTCCAGGTGCCCTGAGGTGACTGACAAGTCTATGCATTTACAAACAAGTTAATAGGACCTGCATATTAACAAGAGTAATAATTTGTTATAGCAAACCGCAATTGATTTTGTATTCACTTATTACCTAGACACTACTTTTTCAACTTTCTCGTTGGACTGCTCATTAGCTTACCATCGATGTAACTGATCGTGCATCTTCTTCATAGTTTACTACTGGGGGTGGCTCTTTCCCATCATTTTCTTGTACTTTTTGTTCCAGTAATTCTTTCTGTGCTGCAACCTTTGCCTCAGTGCATCTCAGCTGCTGGACTGTCTGCTTCAGCTCTTCAAGTGTCTGTTTTTGGCTTAGCAGAAGCACAATACTGAAAGAGAATAAATTAAACATATTCAACTTCTTTAAAAAATAAAAACATTAAAGGAAACTATATATCCATAGCTCATACTTCAGCTGTATTTTGCTTCTTAAAAGGGTCCTTTAAAATCATAAGAAATATGAAGCTAAATAAACTTTTAGTTATCACAGTAGTTACTAAATGTTAGTATTAACAAAATGGAAGGAAGTACTTAGAAGCAAAAACAAATTCAAGACGTTCTCACAGATATAATGATTTATGGCACTCATTTTATTTTACAGCCTAACCACCTAACTCAGAGTGAAGACAATTAGGTCCAGAAGTGTAGGATCTAAAATGAATGAAAATGACAGAAGCAGAATCTTAAATTTACTTCAAATCTCAATGGTAATACGGATAGGGTCATATCTGCATGTAGAGGAAAATAAATCAAATCAAGGTGACTCCTGGCATCCAGTTGTATATTATGTTGTGAGGGATGTCTGCTTGAAGGGAGGGAAAGCTGTATGACAAAGAACAAGGACTGGGCTGTGACTGACAAAATGACCATAGCATAAATCCTCAAATCTGTACAGTATCACCAATATATATATAACATTCCTTTAGCAAACTACATGGGTCACATGTTGTCTTACTCTGACTTTTTAGTCCTGGGAGGCTGCCCTCAAAGAGAATTTCAAAATAATTCAAGTACTTGAAATCCCAGGAAACCAAGCAATGGTGGTAGGAACACCTCGGTAAACACCCTCAGGTACAGAATATTAATATCTTAAAAGAACTGTACCACACACTGATGAAAGTTATTAATATATAACAGAAAACAGGTTAAAAATCAGGGAAATTCACAATTGGAGAATAAGGTCAGAGAAAACATTACCTTTTTAAAATGTAAGAAAAGATCAACATAAGCCAAGTATTCGTAAGCAGAAGTAACCCACACCAAGAGAGATTTATTTGAAAATATGCTCGATCAGCATTTTGACAACTATGTTCCAATATAATTAAGCATAGTGCAACTTCCATGACTGCTAAAAAGGGAGTTGCAATCCCCTCAATTACACTGCAATGACTTTTAGGCAAATGTCCTAGCAAAAAAGTAGAGAACAGAGTGAAGTCTGGGGAAAAGAGAATAAGTAAGAACATTTGTATGAGACCTAGCCAAGTCCAGAATACAGACCACTTTAACTAGCAAAATTCAGTAACTGGTAATTATCATATATATCATCATCAACCAATAATCTGTGACCCATGTTTTAAATCCAAACAGGTTTCTTGGTAAATTCATGCTGGTTGGCAATTGCTCTTTTATAATAAATTGGCAATGTTTATGTCTCAGTGAATCTCTTTAGTGAGGGCTAAGTTTTAAAACAATCACTTTTATGAACATATTTGTATAAGGGCCAGAATTTGGAAAAGATTACACCCATTATGAACTTAAAGCTTCCTGAAGGTTTCTTCTTTGTATCTTCTAACTACGAACAGAATTAAAAAATAATAACAGCAGTGACAACAGTAGAAGAAATAATTCAAAATATATGAGGTAAAATGGTAAAAATACATTTTCATATACACCTGGAATATCAATGAGATGAGTGATTTCAAAATAGTAGGAAGAATCAACACAGATTTTTGGTTGCAAATAACAGGACTTTAAAACCATGACCATTATCAATAGTCTTTGCAAACAAGTTTCAAAAAAAAAAACTAATGGAAAAATGCAAGCAAAAAAATTCACTGAAAGAATAAAAATAAGCTTGGCAAAAATGAAACACAAAATGATAAATGAAGCACAATTGAAGAAAAGCAAATATTAATTGAACATTCAAATGTAATTCAAAAAAACAACTACTAATAGGCATAAATAACATACATTTTACTCTTTCTTTAATCTATGGTAAGTTAATGGCCCCCAAAAGATGGCTACATCATTATTCCCAGAACCTTTAGCCTATGTTCCCTTATAAAGTAAAAGGAATTCTTAGATATGAGTTACAGATGTTGAGATGGAAGGGGGTTGTCCAGATGAGTCCATTGTAAGCGTAAGAGGAAGACAAGAGGGACAATTTCAGAGAAGGCAATGTGACAAAGGAAACAACAGAAGAAAAAGCATTCCAATGTGCGGCCAAAAGCAGGGGAATGCGGAAAGCCTGCAGAAACCTGAAATACCAAAGAAGTAGATGGTCCTCCAGAGCCTCCAGAGAAAGCCTTGTGATGCGGCGCATTAGAATCAGTTCTGACATCTAACTACATCTGGGACAATTCTCTACAACGACAATAGGAAGTTAATACAATCCCTAACAGAGATTATATTTCAGTTTCATTCAAAAAGACAGGATGAAACCATTATAGAAAGTATGTTATACAGCTTAGAGAAAGAGCTCTCCTTTTTAAAATGACTTCTCATAGTGTTTCTAATCCTTATACATTAAGATTTCATCTTTATTTTACTTTGGGTAATAAATAGGACATCCCATAATGATCCTAAAACATTCACATAACGACAAGAATCACTAATACTATGAATCTCTCATTAGAACAACCCATTTTCTGTCCCCCTCATTAGGAACACAGATTGCCTAGCCAGTTTCAATTGTAATGTTCAGACCTGGCCATGGAGTTCTGCGCTGAAATGGGAGCTCTTCCCTGAAAAGATGACTATTCACTGGTGTTTGTACTCTTGAGAGCATTCCAAGATCCAGCTCTCGGGACTAACAAGTTTTTTTTTCCCTTTCCTTTGCTTCCTCATTCAGCCACTAACACACACCTTGCCATCTACAATGTTGAGCATGCTGTCTATGGAGTTGTTTCTCTTGCAGTTTTTTCCCTATGAGTTATCCTAGTTACTATGTCTGTTTTAGTGAACAGTTTTGGGAAGACTACAAATCTGCACCACAAGGACTCTTGCTTCCAGAAAGACAGAATACTCTGTAGAAAAGAGTTAACCAAGCAGGCTTGAAGCTCCTGTCCTTAGAAAGGCATGCTTGCAAAGCTGGCTTTGTTGGTATCTGAGAACATGGTTGACAAAGAGTTCCTTACACTCGCATAAAAATAATCCCTCATGGATGACTATCAGCGAGCCTGAACTATGCAAACAATGTGGTTTAGGTTGAACAACTGCTTATCTGTTGGAAAGTTGGAATTTTGGTTTGTGCTAGAGAAAAGGGGCCTAGATCCGGATAAAATTCCTCCTGGGGCAGTGAGTCCCTGATGAGTTTCCTTGGACAGTCCCATCACACACACTGTTGATTTTTGTTTTGTTTTCTTTAAAGCTGGAGAAGAGTGCACGAAGTGTGGTGCTTTTTGAAAAGGAGACAGCCTAAGAAAGCCTGAAAGCAGGTTCTACCAGCTTCTGTCTGTGTCTTTTTCTCTCATAATATGACTGTGGATCCACATTCCATCACTGTAAAAAGTCTTAGCCTAGATTACAATTAAATACTGTGTCCCAAAATCCTTTCTAGCAATTCTCAAAACATGAAGGTGGTATGTGGAACGCTGACACATGGACTTTCCCCTATTCTTCAAACTAAGTTGGCACAGGAACAGAATAGATAATCCAGAAACAGACCAACACAGGTATTCCCAACTTAGTTTTGGCAAATTTACAAAAAACAAATCAATATTACAAAAAGAGCCATTTGAACAAGTGCCAAGTATAAAAAATTTAAGCCCACATACAAAAAAATCCTCAGTGGACAAATTGTGGAATATATAGATAAATTATAGACAGACATATAATAGAAGAATGAAATATTACTCAGCCATTAGAAAGAGCTTGCCATTTCCAACAGTACGGATGAAATTTGGAAGGCTTTACACTCAGTCAGACAGAGGAAGGCAAATGCTGAATAATCTAACATGTGGAACTTTTAAAGGTTAAATTCATAGAGAGAGAGAGAGAGTAGTATTGTAGTTACGAGGGCCAGAGGAGGCAAGAGGACAAGGAAAGTGTGTGGTCATGGAACTTCCACTCATGAAATGAGTAAGCTCAGGGGATCTAATGTACAGCATGGTGGCTACAGTTCATATGAATTATATACTTGAAATTTGCTTAAATGTTTTCACTACAAAGCAAAACAAAATAAAGGGTAACTAGGTGAGTTGATGGATGTGTTAACTAAATTGAGTGTGGTAATCAATTTCACAAAACATATGTATATCAAAATCATCATACTGTATAACTGATATAATTTTATTCCTCAATAAAGGCGGAAATTTTAATTGTCTTATTTTGAAAACTATACAGGAAAAGATTTATTAGGCTTGACATCAAATCTACAAATAACAAAAGGTAAAACATATAAACTGGACTGACTTCATTAAAGTTTAAAATTTGTTTTATGAAAGACCCCTGTCAAGAAAATGAAAAGACAAACTAGAGATAAGAAAAGAGGATTTCCAAATTCAGATCTAGAATATATAAAACATTAAAAAAAATCCAATTAGAAAGTGGATTTAAAAAAGTGTGGATATAAAACACAACACAACAAGACAAACAAGCACAAAGGAATGATGTGCCACATTAGTCAGTAGGAAAATACATATTAAATCAATAAGGAGATATCACTACATACCTATAAAAATGGTTCAAATAAAAAATAATGACAGCACCAAATACTGGCAAGGATGAAGAGAAACTGGATCACTCACATTGCTGGTAGGAATGTAAGGCCACTTTTGAAAGACTACACATGAAATTACCATACAATTTCACTCCTGGGTTACCCCAGAGAAGCTATAACTTATGTTCACACACCAGAAAACCTGTATGTGACTGTTTAGAGTGTCTTCATTTCTAACAGCCAAAAACTAGAAACTAAGCAGATATATTTCAAAGAGTGAATGATGAAACAAACTGTAGTATATTCATACTGTTATGGATAGAATTGTGTACCTCAAAAAGTTATGTTCAAGTCATAATCCTTGAAAACTCATAATATGACCTTATTTGGAAACAGGGTTACCGTAGAAGTAATTAGCTAAGATGATGTCACACTGGAGTGGGAGGGGCT